GTCACGGCTGGACAAGTATAACGTGTGGGCTACCGTTCGCGGTGGAGGAGTGACCGGTCAGGCGGAGGCTATTACACTGGCTGTTGCACGGGCTCTGCTGGTTCACGAACCGGCTCTTAAGCCTATCCTGCGGAAGGGTACGTATCTCCGACTCCCGACGAAATGGGTCATGGTGGAGCGAATTGCTGACCGATTTGTTTTCTTACAGCTGGTGTGGTTACTGTGGATGCCCGTCGTGTGGAGAGAAAGAAGCCCGGTCATGTCAAGGCCCGCAAGATGCCCACCTGGGTCAAGCGGTGAAAGCGTACCTGCCTACCTTACGTCCAGCTTCTTCTTCCCTCCCTCTGTTTCATTACTTATGTCCCCTCTCTGGCCTTTTGGAGGGATTGTTTCTCTACCTGTTCTCTTTTCCCCCCTTTCCCCCTTTAATTTCCTTGATTGTATTATTCCACTTGGCCTTGTGATTCTCGACGAAAGTATATCCTGTATTGCAAGCATCTCAACCCGGTGTCACGAGGATTCGTTTCAGGACACGACACTGCATGTTCTCGGCGACAAGCATGTAACTATTGGCGTTGAACAATTGAACCGAAACTATAAGTGTAGACCATCTGTGCGACGGGGGTGTTGAGCATGATTGGACGTGGTAGAAATGCCCCGTTGACTAAAGAGGATTATCCGAGGGTGACTTGTTTGTCCAACAGTACTTGGGATTTGTGGTCAATGAGAATGGTCTCTTTCCTCCGACCGTCTTGTCACCACCCCTCCCTAAGACAAAGGGAGGTCAGTTGTTGGCCAGCAGGACGGCCAGACCCGTGGTCGATATAGGGGAAATGTAAAAGGGGGGGGCATAACGCGATCCAGATGTACATAATCTACTGTATAGTAGGCGCAAACACCGTTAGCCTCTGGAGAAAAGGCGCCGAAGATCATTTTACCAGATTGAACGCCCCAGGCGAGTTAGTAGACCCTCCTAGGTAGCTAGCCAGTCTGATGATCGCCTAGATAGGTTGCGGAATTGAATCCAGCCTGATAATAGTAGCGACCAGAATCTCTCGTTACACAGGGAGCCCCAAGCGGTCGGTAGTGTCGAACCCCAGGACGCGACTATCCATAACGTGGCGCCCCATTGATCGGGGACTGGAAAGAGAGAAAGACGATGAACCGGAAGACTCTCTCTGCTTTCCACTGCCTTTCCTCTTTCCCTCCCTATAGAATTGAAGGAGACGGGCTGGAACCTGATGGTGGTAACACAGAGGGCGAAGCGAGGCTCCAGATGAACGAGATGAGACTTTTTTACTACTCCCGGGGCCCGGACGACGCGATAGGAAGGTATATACGGCCGGATCATCCATCAAATGGGTGAGGTTGGTTGTGTCGTCATCCGTTCGATTGGGAATTACCTCCATCATGATTGGGGCGAGCATTTATCTGCCTGCTGCTGTTGCGGTCATGGCCAGCGTCATCTTACATCCTTGTGTCTCGGGAAGTCATGGGATCCTGGAAGTGACTCTATTGGACGATGCGATCGAGATCTAAAACTAGAGTGTTCGTCAGGGTGTGGCGGAGGGAGGGGAGCAGCCAGGGAGTTGGTCAACCAATTGGACCAGGTGGAAGCAGCATCGGTCTGCGCGGACCTATGGGGTGGCAGAGTAAAAGAGCTGCCTTGACGATGCTGATGGTAATTGATAATACTGATGACTATACCGGAGGAATAGGGTAGAAAAAATAAGGGAAGTGGTCTTGTGTGTGGAGTTGAGCCCACCGCCAATGTGCGAACCAGGTGGAGATGATAGTCCCGCGCATAATCGCATTATGGCCTCTCCGCGGATAAGTTGATAATTGGAATTTATGCAATACGTTTGGTGGGTACATTGTTTTCATTATTCACCAGACCATTCCAGCTCTGTCAGTGGGCGTGTTTAATAATCAGGCGCATGCAGTTGTGTAGAGAAGCTTCCGATTGATACCGAAGAGATTGTATCTCCAGATATCGCCGAGATTAGCGTCGTATAGAGCGCCTTACTATACTGCTGCACGCCTGCTTGGTCGTAGCTCCCCGAGTCAGCGGCTTCATTGGGATAATGACAGAACACTCGGATCCACGGCTGGCACGAGGAGCAGCTGTCAGAATAAGCACGAGGCAAGGTCATCGTATGTCGCCTGTTCCATTGTCTTGGACTTGGACTTTGAAGATCATCGTCATTGAATAGCCACTAAAGGAGGCGATGGTCGACTGATGACTGCGATCCTGAAATCTAGTGTAAAAGTGGTGAGGCTGGACCCGCCTCACTTTCATTCCCTTGAACCTTGGAAAACATGTCCTATGAGCTCCGTATATCCCTCAAGAAGACTCGGACCCATGATTTGGAATCTCTTTACGTGGAGACGCCGTACTTTCTGCGCGTGCGTGGGGATCACGGCCCCCCAGGTCTGGCTTTAGTTTCTGACAGGCCCTAAAAGCGGCGCCGGCTCTTCGGACGCCGTTTTAGTGCACGCCGGGCTTTCCCCCCCTGTCACGCCCTACCACTTAGCGCTCCGCTGGTGCTGGTAGTGCGAATATTCACCCCCAAAACCATGACAGAAAACAATTAAAAATCAGAAAGTAGAACACAACTAACTCAAAATAAGAGACAAGGAAAAGGAATAAGATCAGACAGCCCGGTCACCTTGCGCTGCAGACTAAAGTTAGCTTGCTCCAATTGCAGTGCTGCAGATCCCCCCTGTTGCCCCGACAAGCGTGGCATCGATTGGTCGCTGAAGGTGCACGACCTTCCCAGCAGGCCGGAAGGTGTGCGACCCGGCAGCTTAGCCAGGCACGGCACGATCATTGACTTTAACCATCGATTGAGCGACTTCAGTGGCTGTAGGGTGATCCTTGATCGGGATAGGACCAAGCAGAAGTCTGCAACAACCGACAGAAGTTCCTGCGAAACCTGGACCGTGCTGGGCGGTGGTAGCTGGATGGCTGCATAATGCAAAGACCATTATTTTCCCGACCTGGTTCTCCATACTTGGTCTATGCTGCTGGGACATCACAATTCGCTGTATTTAAGGATTTTGGTACACAATAATGCACTGATCGATCCACCATCCAGCTCCCCGGTGTCGTCTAATCCCAGAAAGCGGTTCTTCCCGTGGTCCTAAGCCGATCTTCGTAAAGTTCAGTGGCCATGGCGGTGGGTTTCCGTGGAACCGGACTGCAAAAGTAGTACTGCTTCTTGCCTTGTTCTGGGTGTTCCTTCGGCTGCATCCAATTTACTTTTTTCTTCTACTCCTTTCAATACAGATGGGCGTAGATCTCCCCGGCTTGCAAACCCGATCCAGAAGACTGGTACACGGTTCGGTGCATGGACCAGAAGACGATCACCCAAATAGCGTTTCGGAAGGGCTTAAAGTTGACTTTAAAGGCTGTTCGGGGAACTCGGCCCAGTAGGTGGGAATCAATCGATTGATCAATCGATCCATTGATTATAGAGCGAGTGGACGAATCCCCGAATTTGGAATGAGGACCAGGGATTCTCAGGTAGTGGTGGAAAATTGAAAAGCTGAGGTTAGCTCGGACGGCTTTAGTCCCTGACTAGTAGATACTAGAGAGGACTTAGAGGATCCATACCTGGGTCAGTACATATGTAGTTAACTAGTTATGGGCCGTCTCCTCTTGGGACAATTAACCTTAATCGAATCCCCCAGGAAGCAATCAGAGGAAGAGCGGACAGTAAGACGAGGAAGTGCTGGCTGGGTGCATGAACGGATAGTGTGATATGGAGATGGTGTAGACTAGATGCTGGAGAGTCGGGTTCGAGCAGGTACTTTTCAGCCCCGAATAGCCCCGCGCGCCTCGTGTCTGACTGATCTTCAGCACGATTGCAAAGTTCCTTGGCTCCAGACTTTTGTTTTTTATTTTTTATTTTTTTTTTTCCTTTTCGCAGGAATGCGATGGATCTGAGGCGGCTCCTGTGGGGGCCACCATCGTAACTATGAAGTGATCCTAGTGATCCTCCTGTCTGTCGCCCACTCTAGCTCCACATGCTCTCTCTCACACACTCTCACTTTTCTGTCTCAGCACCATCCATCTTCCGTAACCTTCTCTCGCATCCTTTGGCCATCGTCCCGGTGGATTGGTCCGCAAAAGGAATATGAGCTGATCAATTAGTTCAGCAGAAGGAGCCATTCTGGGTTCGCATCAGTGACTGATACCGTTTCGGGACATAGTGCGTCCCATTTGGATGGATCAATCAGTTTTCCACTTTGCCGCGGTGGGGGATTTTTTTAAGGAGGAAGAAGAGAAGGAGGGGGTAATTCAAGGAAGATGATGATAAACAATGAACGAAAGAGAGTGGAATAATTACTAGACCATACAAACAATGATGCTTTGCTCTTTCCGCTTTCTTTCCGTTGTTGTTCTTGTTGCTGCTGCCTCTGCTGTGGTTGTCAGGTATTGAATTAGGCTCAGCCTGCCAATCTATTTGTGACCAAAACACACAAACATCCCCCCTACATTTTAACCTAAATAATCGATCCAAATATGACATGATACAAATTAAGAAAACCCCCCAAAAAAGCCCCCCAGAATTAAAACAGAGGATTTGAATTTATTTGTTCAAGAAATTCAAATGTTATCCATTCTCCACTCAAATTCGGAGAAATAAAAATAATAAAATAATTTCAAAATTATTAAAAAAAATGGAATTAGAAAAAAGAAACAAGCCACTGCAGGGAAAATGGCAGGAGGAAAAATGGAAGAAAAAGAAAAGAAAAAAAAAAAAAAAAACAGCCCTCCTGCATCTGGTTTGATTGCTGGATTAGTCTCTGCGTTCCCTCGTTTCTTTTTCCTTCATCCCAGGGATTTTTTCCATCTCGGTGGGCTTCGTTTGTTTTTTCGCCCTCGTTTCTGTCGCGTTCTAGTCATCGCTGATGTCTTATTCGTTTCTTACTTTTTTCTCGGGTCTGCAAGTTCTCTCGGATGGGTCCATTATGCGCGCGTGAAGGAGGGTCTCTCAGCCTGTCTCTTGGGCTTTCCGGTGCCCACTTGGGGTGGGTGAGAAGCGACAAGAGAGATGACTGACTGAATGAGAGAGAGTGAGTGAGGGACTGACTGACTACTGACTCGGACTGAACCTGATTCGGCCTGATCTGATTTGAGCTGACCCGACTTGATACTGGCACCCTTTTTCTTCTGTTTCATGGTTTCCTGCTGTCCCATCCCGACTAACCTGATCGACCGGCCCCAGAGGCTTTCCAATAATTCCCTGCGGATCTTCCGGCCTGTTCTTGTCCCATCAGTCTGGTTGCTCGATGCTATAAGTAATCCGTGCATCCCAATCCTCTCCCGGTCCGCTAATCCCCCACTTCTCCCCTCCTCGCTTGCCCTCATCCATCTTCTTCTTTCGTCGTCATCATCGTTGTCGGCGTTGTCTTCTTCTACTTCTTCTTCTTCTTCTACTACTACTACTACTACTTCTTCACCCTCCTCATCTATCTCCTAAGTATTCAGGATTAGAAGATCCGAAGTTGTTCTCAGCCAGTACTGGTCTTCAACTGAGATCTGGAGCATAAGCATATCTCAAGTCCCTCTCTTGTCGACCCCACTAGGTTCCTAGTTCCTGGTATCACCCTATCAGTCTTCATTTTCGCCTTGTGGACTATCCTATATCGGGCTTTCTTTCCTCTCTCCGAGTGGGTTAGAAATACCCCTCCTTTCGCTTGTCCTCCCCCCCCCCCGCCATCCCAGTCTTCCACATAGATCGAACCAGGGTTGTGCGATTCATCCCCAAACCAGGGTCAAACCATCGTCTAGGACACATTTCTGGCTTTTCTACAAGGTGTGCAAACCTCCATAGTAGGCAAATATCCCCTGCAGGTATACCTCTGCATTCATGTGGGTTTGCGACGACTGATCGGTGGGTGACTATCTAGATCGCGTGCGCTGGTTGTACCCGCGTCCCTGCGCTGAAGTGAAACCGTGAGACCCTCCGCGCGCTTACCTGCGATTCTTGTTGGCTTGGATCTCAATTCCCTGCTAGCAAGAAAAGCCACCGAGCGAATAAGCTAGGGCATCCCACCTCCTACCTCAGAAACAGCCGATCGCGCCCTCCCGCCAAGCTGGAATCCTACGTGAGCCCGCCACTCTCCCCACTCGCGCATTGGTCTCTCGACCTCGATCCAGTGCGTGGGGGTATGGATGGCGAGATCCGGCGCATGAAGCAGCATGATCTTCACACCCGCTTTGCGACCAGAGCTGGCATGTCCCGCCGCGCGGCGGATCGCTTCAGACAGACTGGGGTGCCATCCGCACGGGGAGATCCCTCTCAGACTGCCGGGCGTCCTCGAGTCCCAACGTACATAGACTATGGATACACCGATACTTCCTTTCAGGGCGGTTCGCTGCAGGGGGATGAGTTGCAATCATACACACCGACGTTGCGCGACCAACAGCGCCAGCATCAGCCGGTACACCAGCCGTTAGCTCCTTATGACTCCGAGATGGTATACAACCTCAGCCAGCAGGACCCGGGACAAGCCCCGTACGAGCTCGTCCCACCATACCCGGCACGGCAATCTGCAGCGATGGAAGCACTGTCTAGTCAGTTTGGTGTTCCACAATATTTCCCAGCAAATGAACCGACGGCCACAGGGGTTCCGGCCATGGGTCCGCCCTACCTGTCATCGCAGCTCCCTTTGTCCGCTTATAACCAAGCCAGCGCCATTGGACGCTCGAGCGCTCCGCACGTCTTTCCCGCAGCTATGGCCGAACTGACTCCAGTGGGAGCGTCTGGACGTTTGGAGCAGCCTCCGTCGCCGTCGCAGCAACAACAGCAGCAACAACAACACCTACAAACACCGTCCCGGGTGGGGTCCGAGTCGACTGGCCTGAAGGAAGCGTATGCTCAATTCCAACGAGCATTACGAGAGACATTCGATAGTACGCGCGCCGGCCGATTGGTAGAAGCTAGTAGATCACTCTTGGAAATCTCCGAGTGGCTTGTGACTAATGCGCGGGAGCTCGGTATGTCCCCTTAGCGTTTTCACCATTTACCACGCCAATGGGTTTCTTACCCACCCTCCCCCCTCTTTAGCTCCTGGCCCGGACACTACCTGCATGCACCTAAAAAAGCATGGTTCTTGATTCGCACTCTGCTTGACGCACACAGCGAGACCGGGGTTTGAGCGACTATATTGTGAACCCTGAGGCTAATTCGAGTCTATCAATAGGTATCCTTCGGGATGATCAAATGCTACATGCGGATCGACTACAACTTTGGAATGATTTCAATATTTGTTGGCTAGCGGTATGCCAGAAGCAGAAAGATTTGGCTCAGGAACTGCTGCAAACCGGTCGTCAGCCGCCCCAAACTAGTCTTCTTAGTGGCGACGCGATGGACAATATGGGTAAGGAGCTGATCCAGCTCTGCGATCGTATGGAGCCCCATGGGCTAGTTGATTACCAAATGGGGATTTGGGAGGAGGAGATTCTTTCCAGTGAGTGACTCTCGAGAAACATTTCTTCCCATCATACCGTGGACGGTTTCTAACGCGCTTGATAGTCATGGGCCAATGTCTGGATATTGTCGAAGGCCGACCGGACGTCTTTCGCTCTCAAACCGCTTCGCGATGACGGGCATTGGAATCCTGACCTGGGGGTGCGCATAACCGGGTTGGATGCTGGACGCCTAGCGCAGACTCGGCTGGATCGTACTTTTGTGATGGTGGCGGGCTTAGGGCCCCTAACGCAGGGACTAGTTTAGTCTAGTGGATGGGAGCAAAGCCAACCCGACGCCCAGCGCGGACTATCGATTGATAGATCGCGGCGTCCGAGTAAGCCTCGTCACGACTCGTGGCTCACGACTTTTCCTTGGTCTTCTATTTCCTCTTTCGTTTTCTTGACCAGGCCGTCGGTAACCCCCAAAATCTTATCCACAGTTTTGGATACGTCGGGCGTGTTCAGGCACCGCCCCCACTTCATGCTCGTCCCTCGTGTCAGATCATATCCCGGGCCAGGATTCCGCCCTATTGGCAGGAGAGATTCTGAGTATGACAGCTAATGGGGAAAAGAGCTGGGCGAAAAACAAAAAACAAAAAAAAAAAAAAATGCTGAAAAACCAACAGGGCACTACTTGCTGCCTAGACGGCGTTTGAAGGGTTATGAACACTCCACATCTTTGTTTCGCATTTAGGGGGGGCAAAGATCAGGTCGGGCGCAATGAGGTTTCAGGACATAGACCTGGACGGGGGGGTGTGAACTGCGTTACTTGGTTGGGATAAAGGTCGTTGGTGGCTGTGTGTGACGCTATGTGATGGCTTAAGTGCGGCTGAACCGGACCGGATCCTGCGACCAGAGATTCATCCTTCTTACCATCTTCGGTCAAAACCCGAGGAGTGATGAATTGATGCCCGACGACGATGGACAAACAGGCAAATGACCGGGGCTGATGTTCTCGATTGTTCTACTGTTTCATTGAGAGCCCGGGATCACCTCAACAGATCAGGCGGATGGGAATCAATTCCTTGTATAATAGTGTCCCTTTTTTTCATTTGTTTGATTTTCCTTTGTATTAGTTTAGTCTTCAAGATACCCAACTTAGTAGTTATAATGAACCTAGTACTAGTACTTTATTAGCTCTCTAATCTAGTCTAGTTCACAGCCCAACCATCCCACCAAAACTAGAGATCAAACATAATAACAAGGATTAGAGAACTAATAGAAGGAAAAAAAAGTACGCAAGATTAGATCCTGCAGACGCACCCAGCCAGCAAGCAAGGCAACATACATACATACATACATACATATGCAGCATGAGATCATCATCTAACTACAAAGTAACAAATACTACGTAGTTAATCATGCAAGGTACTTCTTCAGCCCTTCGCTCATGGAAACGTCAAGAATTAATACTCATCATATACTTGCAAGGATCGGACCCGGGAATCAGGGAATAGTTGCAGTAGTGGGAAACTTTAAGGCTGAGTACCAATTCACATGTACTTTTGTGTTGTGTTCAGCTGGGGTGGAGTGGGTGGGGATCGAAAGGTATGGGGCTGGATTTGGTGGGTACGGATGATTAGGGAGATGGGTACTATGGATGGGTTGTTGCGGTTGGGCAGGAAGTGAGATTTTGGGGTGCTTAGTTAGGTAGGATAGGAGGTGGGTATTATTTATGTTATGGGAGTATTAGGAGTACGAGTAGGTGTTTATGGAGTGAATTATTATGCGTCTGTAATAGTCTATGGGATAAATATATATTCATGAAGTACGGGATAGACAAGAGATCGCCTTGGTAATAGGATTTACTAGTATGGCTGAGTTGACAGGTACTACAATTCATCCCAATTATCGTAGTTTTGAGCAGGGATTGGGATTGAAATACAGTAGTAAGATGAAAAGAAAATGAAGCCTAGGTATCTACCTAATTACCATCTCTGTTGATTGTGTCATTTTGGGCATAAATAAGAAACATAGAAGAAGTATGTGGCGTCGCAGGCGTAGTAATTCCAGAGTAGCAGCAGTGGGGACTGGATTAGTTGCTGTCCCGACCCTGCAAAAATGTTGCATATTCAGCCAACTTCTGTAGTGCAATATCCATACTTCGTCTGGAATACTGAACCCCAACCACTGTCGGTTTTTCTGGGCGCCCTGTAACATCATAAGAGAACTTTGTCCCCAGCACAGGATCAACGATAGGATCCCGCAACAGCGCAGGAAAATGTATCCTTCCATATTGCCTCTGCGTCGTATATCCCATCAGATGACGCACGGAGATTTCGGTGAGTGATGAGAATTCGGAAAGAGTCCTGAAAATGGCTGCCCACGCCCCAGAACCAAGAGTGAAAGAGCCGAGGTGTATTTTGACCAAGGTCCGCTTGGAAGAGAATAAAAGCCTGATCAAATCCTGGTCTGAGTCTACGTTGCCACACATCAGATGCAGCTCTTGTAGTCTCAGAGGAGGCCGTGTCGCCAAAGACATTTGAAACATAAGAGGCGCCGCGCATTCGCCAAAAGAAAAGTCAATTGTCAGTCGTTCTAAGCGATTCTTTGCATGGTGTATGAAATGTACCACAAAGTTAACCTCTCCCTCTTCTTCCACTTCAAACTTGAACGTGAGGGCTTCCAGAGTAGAACAGCACGTAGTGATGAACTTTGGGTCGTGGAGGAGGCCGTTGTGAACGCGGGACAAGTCGAGCGGGTCGAGCGAATAGAAACCTGGCCGTTTGAATAGAATACTAAGCTCTCGTATTGGACGCTCTATTGCGATTAAAATGCTGAGCAGGACTGTGATAGTATCATCAGGGGTTGTTTTGTCGAATGGGTCGGGGTCATCAAGCGGATTCCATCTGTGCAGACGAAAACTCTGGCAATTCACTAGGCGCAGTAAGACTCCTTGCCACCTTTGAATAGATTCTTGTGGAACAACAAGGAGTCCAGAGCGGTGATGTTCCCACGTAAGTCCCGATCCTATGATATCCTCCTCTGTGCCATCGATACTTAATGTTTGGACGAGGGAACACAGTTCTTGATTCCGCGATAACAAGTCAAGTTTTTGAAGTGATGTAAGAGACAGGTTTGTTGTTATGTTTTCCAGGTATTTGCAAAACAGAGGAAAGGTGCAGTCATGTATGGCTTTGCAGGTGAGACGGAAAGAACACAAGGCTGAGCAGTCCAGGCAGGCGCCTATAAGTAACAACAGCTCAGCTGGCAGGGTGCAAATAGGAAAATAAACCGACCTTGACGGACTCATAATGATTGTTCTGAGAAAGGAGGAAGAGTATAGGCGCTTCGGCAAGGCTGAGAGAAGTGATATAGTAAGTTGTTTACTACTAACTATGGAGAACGTCCCCGCATCCTAGATTACATCAGCGGGGGCCAGGAGATCCTTCTTATTTGAGAATGGGCCCTAGTAGGGTCATTCGAGGACTGTTGGTATTTTCATCATCTCTATGCTTATTGCTGTTTCGAATCGGTTCTCAGAAGATACAGTATGGGGTTGTCCCTTTAAGCTTTTCGTGAGTGCATACTTACATACATCCAACATACCTAGGAGACATGAATTAGAAAACGATTTAAGTGTATGTTAGTCATTTGAGCGTGGTACTCCCTGTAAACGAATAAAGAGGCGCACCTAAACTGCATCTTCGAGGGCTGCGGTTTCCCAATCCGGTTAGCGGGGATCCTTCGGTCTAGATAGTCCCATCCTTGCTCACTCAGCGACATGCGCACACGTAGCCTAGACATTCTAATTCTATATGCCTTTCGAAACTTCTGGCACCTGTTGTGGTGTCTGATGCACTAAGCAATTTGCTCTGCTGCTGAATATAGGTCTCTGATTCCTCCATCCTGACTATGTCGAGATGTGCAATCCTCAATCCCTGAAGAACAATACACACCTTACTAAGTCCCTGATTGGTGGACTCGAAGAGAGTAATTCGCGTCTGAACCGGTCAGGAAAGTCTCGCATAAGACACTGGGCTCCGAAAGTGAAGACCGGTTGTATGACTTGCCGGTAAGACTAATATTTCTGTCGCTGGGACATGAGTTGTTGATACAGGCAGGATCCGGAGAGTGAAATGTGACGAGACAAAGCCCGTGTCAGTAAGCTTCTCTGGCCGGTCATATTAAAAGTAGTATAGCCAGAGCTCGCTGACGGTTATGACTCTGCAGTTGCCAGCGATGCTCTTCTACCGGAAGAAAGTGCGAAGGCTACAATTCAGTCCCCCAAGGGCCGCCCACTACGGTCCTCGGCGTGGTACAGATGCCTTCCTATTGGGAAGTAGTATCAAGTAACCCTGTAGAAACCGAGAGTTTTCGGTTCTTTCACTCAGTCACTACCCCCAATCTGGCTGGCTTCTTTGATCAGGGCCGCTGGGCTCGCAGATTGCTCCAAATGTCGCACCAGTACCCTGCCCTGTGGCATGCCATGACGGCGGTGGCCTGCATTCACCGAGACTTCATGGTGAACACTACGCCGATTACCATGTCAAGGATACAGGATAGCATCAAGGTGAGGCTTGCGTTGCAACAGTGGAACAAATCCATCCAAAGTCTGCAAGAACTGCTCTCAGGACAGGTTTTGACCAAATTGGACAGACTGGTCATCCTGAGTGTTTGCATGTTATTCATTACCATGTCAAGTCTGCAGGGTCGTCAGTTGCAGGCTTTTGTGCACATCAACGGCGGACTGAAGCTAATTCACCAGTGGAAATTGGCGGACAGAGGTGAAGACCAGAGAGATGAAGATTCAGATCTGGATGTGTTGCTTGTCTTGTTTACCCAACTCGACTCACAAGCGCGCCCCTACGTTCCCAGTCTTTCGAATGACCTTGAATGGACGGACAAGCAGATCATTTTGTCGTCGTCTACCAACCCCTTCAAGTCTCTGCTAGAGGCATGTGTTGCCCTGGAGGTGCATTTCAACAAAATGATGCAAATATTTACGAATAATTCCATATATATAAACGGTCCAGACGCTGGGATGCAGATCAAGAGACAACAGTGTCTTCTTGGTCTTACCGAATGGGATATCAGGATTGACAAATACCTTAAAATAACACCGCAGCTACAAGATGAGAGGCCTTTGAAACTTCTCTATGTCCGGCGCAGACTCGCACAAGTGGCTCTGTCCATGGACCTGACGAAAGGCGAACTAGCTCATGATGACTTCTTCGAGGACTATGCGTACATGCTCAATTTGATGGGCGACATCCTAGAAGATCCCATAAATCCCTTGGACAGCCAGCCTGAAAATATATACCGGATACAAAAGATGAGCTTCCATCTGGAGACAATCACGACGGAGCCATTATTCCTGATTGCACTCCGCTGTCGAGAACCCACGATCAGGCGGCAGGCGATCCGTCTTCTCAGACAGTACCCAAGGCGCGAAGGCATCTGCGAAGGGATGGCAGCTCTTAAGATTGCGGAACGAGTGATGGAAATTGAAGAGGAATGTTTAACCAGCCCTGATAATGCTTGCGCTCGTGGGAAGTGGATTTGTGAGAACCACCGAGTAACATGGCTACAATTCTTCCTGGTTCATGATCGGCAGGCGCGGACTGTGGTGCACACTCGGGAGGATCTGCTGCACGGCCGGCCAGGGAGAGAAATTGTGACGACGTATTGGTGATTGTTCTTGATTCATGGATCTGAATATAGATAGACCCCATACTGGACAGGCTACTGCCAAGAGTGATGAGGAAGATGACATGGATGTAAACACAAATCCAGACCTACTATGCTGCTGAGCAGTAAATACATATCACCAAATAATTGAATGATCAATAGAGACGAAAATACAAAAATTGTATTATCTCATAGCGACATAATCAAAATTACATATTACCAATGTATCATAAAAATATCCATCCTCCACTCTACCCCCCTTCATACCCAAGAACGACTACCATTAATCTCTTCCCCCAATAACTGTAACCAACCCAGTCTTGAAAGAAGCACCAGGAACAGTACTCGACGGAGCAGCAGTATCAGTAGTAGACGACGACGACGAAACTCCCACACAAACCTCCGTATCAGGAACCAACCCCTCGAGACAGTTTCTCTTCCCCGAGAGAGCCGGATTCCATGTATACAGATCTGCCATGGTGATGCCGTTGAAGTGCATGATGTCGTAGCAGTCGTCGTGACTATTCATACAAACCATATTAGTTAGTCATAGTGCTAATTGGGGAGTGGGGGAATGAGAAGTAAAATGGAGAGAAGGGTTACTCACATCGACACAAGCCACCATTTAATACAGTCCTTAGTAACTCCCGGTTGACGACGCGGATGGGCCGTTGGGAAGCTCATGGCAGTAATTACGGGCCTTGTTCGGGTCTTGGGAGTGCTGGGGTCGGCGACGCAGTAGTAGTAGCCGTTCTATTCATTTGTGTTTAGCTCACGACTTCGTATCAAAGTAATAGACCTGGGGGTTGTAGATTGTAAAGGAAGAAGTGGGAAAGGAAAGGGAAAATAACGTACCTCCAAACCATAGCAATGAACACCGATATCAGGATTCCACGCCACGAACTGAGCCTTATCGAACGTGCCGAACATCTCCACGATCAAGTCGCACGTATCACCATCATCCTTCTTGTACCAGGCCGTGCAGTTCTTGGCTGTGCCTGGCTTTAGCGGATAGGGCTGAGTAGTGACGGTGGGCGGGGAGGGGCAGTTGGTGTCGTTGTAGGCTGCGATGCAGTAGGAGTAGCCTGGTAGGATACCGGAGCAGTCTGCTTTCAGGGCTGGGTTCCATTCCAACAGAAGAGGGAATTTCAGCATGGGGTTGCTGGCGAGGATTTGGTCGCAGGTGTCGGACTGGTGTTTTGTTTGGTTAGTATTAGTGTGTATGTATGTTTTTGTGGTGGTGGATAGGTAGGCAGGGAGACTTACAGGCTGAGCTTCGTAAAAGGCAGAGCAGCTTGGGGCGAGACCCGGTTGGGTTTTGGTGGGTGGGTAGACGGATGTCTCCGTTGGAGTGGGACGCGGCGTCCAGGGAGTGGGATCGGGGACTGTGTCGTTGGTGGTGGGATAGATTATGGTTAGAGCGGGACGTTTGATACCCACGCACACCCAGTAGCCGGAGATGGGGTAGTCGCAGTCTGCTTTAAGGTCGGGGTTCCACTCCAGTCTGTGGTTATGCATGTTAGTTAGGGCTGACCCGGGTGGGAAGGAGGAATACTTACAGCTCGTCCATGGTAATGCTGTTGCCGTGGCGCTGGTAAATTGACCTGCAGGTGTCTCCTGGCGCAACTAGATACCATTTGTCACAGTCTTTGGGCTGGCCGGGATGGGTCTTGGTCGGAGGCCATGCGGTGTCAATGGGAGTTATGGTCTGGTTGTATGAGGTGATGGGGTTGCGGGTTGAGTAGGTCGCGTTGGTCGTGACCATTGTGCTGGGGAAGGGGCTAATTGGTGGGCGTGAGCTAGGAGTAGGTGTGATAGAGGGCGAACGGGGGATTGTAGAGGTTGAAGTTCTGGGAGTGGTGGAAGTGACAGGAGTACTTGGACAGGTCAACGTAGTTGAAGTGCGGGATGTACTTGGAGTTGACGTGGGTGGGTTGGAAGTGGTAGAAGGTTTGGGCGTGCTCAAGGTGGTTGAAGTGGTCAACGTGGTCGAAGCACTTGAGGTAGAAGTAGTGGGAACACTCGAAGTCGAAGTAGTGGTACTAGACGTGCCCGATGGGGGCAGGGCCGTTGTCAATGTAGTTGAAGTACCAAGAGTTGTAGACGGGCTAACAGTCGTAGTCACAGTAGTAGTAACTATTACCGTAGTCTGACCATTCGAAGTCAAGGTTGTGGTCAAAGTGAGCGTGGTGGTGAACGTGGTGAAAACAGTCGTAGGTGATAAACTAGTCGAAGTGGTCGACGTACCGGTAGTCCACGTACTCGAGGTAGTAGATGTGGGAAGGAAAGTTGTCGAAGTGGTCGACGTGCCGGTAGTCCACGTACTCGAGGTAGTAGACGTAGGAAGGACAGTTGTCGAAGTGGTCGACGTGCCAGTAGTCCAAGAAGTAGAAGTGGTGGAGGTTGGAAGGGCAGTTGTCGAAGTGGTGGACGTAGTCAAAGTGGTTGAACTCGTTGTCGTCGAAGCCGAAGTCGCTGTCGCTGTCACAGTCGAGGTAACCGGTCCAACGCCCACGCAGTACGCATAGTCTGCCCAGAAATTGACCAAGCAGTCCAGAGAGACAGCCGGATTCCATTGTTGGAATTGCTGGGGGCTGATGCCAAAAGCCTTCTCGACTGCGTAGCAAGTATCACCCTTCTTGGCAGTATAAAACTGAACGCAATTTGGGGCAATCCCTGGCATAGTAGGACCATGAGGACCATTTGCGGCCGGCCCAACACCCACGCAATAAGCATATCCGGGCCAGAAGTTGACCAGACAGTCCAACGAGACAGCGGGATTCCACTGCTGAAACTGCTGCGGAGTAAGCCCGAATGCTTTCTCTACTGCATAACAGTAATCTCCTTTTTGGGCAGTGTACCACCGGTTGCAATTTGCTGCAATGCCAGTCATGGTTGGGGCATGAGGAGCAGTGTCTGCAGATGTCGGAATTGCTACCGGTCCAACTCCCACGCAGTATGCGTAACCCGGCCAAAAGTTGACCAGGCAATCATGGGAGACGGCGGGATTCCATTGCTGGAATTGCTGCGGAGTGAGCCCGAATGCTTTCTCCACTGCGTAGCAATTGTCTCCTTTCTGAGCAGTGTACCAACGATTGCAATTTGCCGCGATACCAGTCATGGTCGGAGCAGGAGGAGCAGTGTCTGCAGATGTTGGAATCGCTACTGGTCCAACACCCACACAGTATGCGTAGCCCGGCCAGAAGTTGACCAGACAATCACGGGAGACTGCAGGGTTCCACTGCTGGAATTGCTGAGGAGTGAGTCCAAACGCCTTTTCCAAATCATAGCAGGTATCACCCTTTTTGATAATGAACCATCGGTTGCAATCAGCTGGGGTTCCTGACATGGTTGGGCCATGAGGGGTGGGATCTGCTGCAATGCCAGCGACATCGATAGCTGGGGATTGAGCAGCTGCAGTCCATAGCAGTAGCAGCAGGGCAGACAGCCATGTAGGAAGAGTACCCATTATGGTGGATAGTTCCTGGTCGGTGTTGTAGTGAGAGAATCTGTAGGTACTGTAGGGACTGTAGGGGAGAAAAAAGGGAAGTAGTGAGGGAAAGAAAAAGAGAGGGAGGGAGGAGTAAAAAGCAGTAGAATTTATGGCAGCTTTACAGAGGTAAAATTGTGAGAAAGAGTGAATACTAGATATGTGAAGGGGTGAAATCAAGCCAGAATCACGGGGCTAGCAGGTAATAAATTGATTAACTACAACCTCTTTTTGCCATTCCCCACATTCACTCAAACTACATACTTCCAAATTCCTTCCCCCCAACAGTGAAAGAACATGTAAAGCCACACTTTCCGTCTCCTACCACACCCAATTGGCGAAGAGTGACTTCTAGTTCGAACAGCCGGCGTACATTCTGAATGTCGAGAAGTAAGGGCTCCTGGGATCGTTGTACAGAGTCCTTACTGGAATTCCATACACAGTACCATAGAGAAGCTTCAAGCCATCTACATCTTCAACACTGGGGTCTTCTGTCTCTTGGAAAATTGTCCCGTCCGCCAACATTATGACCACTGAATAATCAAACTGCCCGCCCAGGTGAGAACCGTAAAGCATGATAGAGTCAAAATCAACGGTGGCTCTGTTTGACCATATTCCATGGGGAGATATGACTTCATCAAACGGCATAGGAAGGTAATCATAACTTGGAAACCCAACGGCTCGGGCCGCCTTCCAGCTCGTGCAGACACCATTGTCTCCCCAGATCTGCTCCTGTGACATCCCCTGGGTCAATTCTGTGAAATCCTTCAATTGGTCACAGTTGAAGGCGAACACTTGGCGCCCCGGTATCCAGTAATAAGGGTTTTGGTGTTCGTGATACATCCCAAATGAGTGTGCGAGCTCGTGAGCAAAGGTAGCGATTCGGTACGACTCTGAGTCCCTGTAGTACAAGGATACCCACATTGCAGGCTTCGTAGGCCTCGGATAATTGCTCGGGTTCAGGTAGGACAGAGTGGGAAAGCCAACATCTGTGGCAAACAACTCGGGGGTATCGATGACCAGCAACTGTTCATTTGGCGTGTTCTGGCATCCATCTGCGCCAACCTCCCTCACTTTGAAATCCTCAGGCAGCCCTGCCGCATACCATAATCTCATCGCATTCCGGAAGTAGTTATGATATTTTCTCCAGGTTGCCTCGCTTTCGTAGCACAGCTTGATGGTCTTGTCGGGCCAGAGGCGGCTCCAGGGCTCTACTGGCTTGACTGACAACCATTCGGGAAGCATGAACCGAGCATGCTCCCACTCAGGATGGCCAGCATTGACCGTGGGGGAACTGAGTAGTTGAAGAAGGAGAATTGGAAGGAGAATTGCCCACATCTTTGGAAGTGGCATGGTGTTCGAACGGTTCGAAATGGTGAACTTGAGGAGGAGAGAGATATTGGGGCGTAATGGCAAGACGGAAGGTATAGAAGAAGACAATCATAATAAATAGAGAATGTGAAACCACTTTCGGTCTCTCCACTATACTGGAATACTGGTTGTTGGTTCACTACAAGCAATTCACAGACATGCACGTGCCTGGATATTTTCTAATATAGCTCATAGTTCGATAGCTATTTGGAAGTGTCGATTAACGTGAGCTTTCTCGAATTTGTCAATCATATCTGTAGGGTAAACAGTGTGAATCGCTTTTAAGAAGTCTGGAAAGTCACATTGAACATGCAAACTTTCATACTATTCTAACCCAAATTCACGGTTCATTCCTGTACTCCTTCCATCACTTCTACAGCTTCACGATATTATTGGAGATAATCTCTTGTTATTAGTTATTTTGAGCTCGCAGAAGCTTGCTAATGACATATTTAGACTACACAGTCACAATTATTCTCCAACAGTCTGGACATCCACGCACAACTTGCCTGATCCCATCATAGCCAGCCTTCATTTACAGTTCGTTCTTGTGCTCTCTGGTGTATGAAGCGGAATAAACAGCTGGTTCAAATTTAATAATAACATCCATAAGCTAAACAGTCTCAATTGTCCATTAGTTGTCTTGAAAATCCACCCATAACATGCATACACCCCTCAGATTCTAGCCGTCCTTCACAGTTCATTTCTATGCTCCTTCCACCACTTCTTCCACCCCAGAACATCATCAACATCTCTTCTCCCAGCTTCAGGAAGAATAATTCCCCGAGCAGGGAGAATCCTTGATTTGTTCTTTCCCATAGCACCCCCTAGAGCGTCGATCATAGTTCCATCATCCAGATCAATTGCCCAGACCATAGTTCCCCCAAGGCACCGCTTGTTGGCATAGTCCATCTTCATCCGTAGGGTCTCTTGGTTATCAATGGAAACCCATTGATCCTTGTCCCAGGTTACGATGGTAACCGCTGCGTCTTTGTCGAGAGTCACGTCGGTACCACCCTTCTGAATGATCTTGTTGACCTCATACGTGGCCAGCACTCCTGGTGTGCCGGTACATTCGCCTGCTCGCGCCCCTCCAGAGAACTCACAGCCAGGCTTCTTACACCCGGGATCCTTCATCGTGAAGCTGCGGCCATAGAAGCCTAGTCCAAGGTTAACTCTCTCCGGATTGATGTTGTTGCGCCAGAGAAGCTCTAGGGCGCTGTTAATCTCCGTTAGATTAGTGTGTGCGAAGGCGTACGGTCCAAGCTGCTTATTCGTGGAGTCCCAAGTGCCGTCTGTGGATCAGTCAGTGAGGTTAAGTTTAATTTGATCCAGAATCGCATCTCACTTACGAATATCATAAGACATGACGTTAAGGAAATCCACATGCGGCTCGAGATTGACAATATCGAATCCCCTCAGGTACCAGTAGGACGTCGGCTGCAGGACGTTAACACCATGCTCATCAGGAGGAGAGACAAACTTACCAGAGTGATGGAAATTCCATACTTCCTTCCTGTCTGGTTCAACCGTTCCCTCAGTCTCTTCACCATAGTCACAAAATTGACATAATCCTCGGGTTTCCCGCCCCGTTCGTCAGTCACAGGGTATTCCCAATCAATATCAACGCCATCAAACCGATTATTCTGCATAAAGCTAATCAGGGATCCGAAGAACGTATCCTGAGCGGCCTCGGAAGCGGCTAGATCAGAGAAAGTGGTTCGAGTCGGGCCCGGGTCATTGAATGCCCATCCCCCAATGGCAATCCACACCTCGAGATTACTCTGTTGGCGCTTGAGTGCCGTCACGCCCTGGTACAATGATGCAGTGAGATTGTCCATGGCAGTGATGCGGAATGACTGAGGGTCAATTGAAGCGAATGCGTAGTTGATGTGTGTGTAGAAGCCGAGAGGGATATCGGCTGGTCCCATTTCTGTAAGAAGCTGTGTTAGTGATGAGTTGAAGGAGTAGTCTCAAGCAACTCACTTCCACATGGGCGTTCCAAGTTCCACCCCTCGTAATACCCGACTGTACGCTTTTTGGCACTGGTGCCGCCGCATTGGGGAGACACGACGGTGGCATCGCCACAGAAGTCCTTGGTGGTTCCTGTAGCAGATAATTAGGTGAGGTTGAGATGAAAGATGAAGAGTAGGAACCCACCGCAGAAGCCGAACTTGCTACAACAAACATTTAGCGGACAAGTGGACGCTTGAGACCATTCTTTACCCCAACCAGGATCGCATTCGCTCTTGCGATCACAGTTCGAGGTGCAATTTTTGCCGCAGAATTCAGGACCAAAACCACAAAAACCCGAACCAGTGGAGTCACTATTCCAGTGGTCAGTAATGTTTAGATCGAATACAAAGTTTATATGGTAGGTGACTCACATAGGTCCACAGCATCCTATTTTACATCCTTTATCCTTGGCACACTTGTACCCATCATCACTCGTAGAGGAAGTGGGAAGGAGTTGGAAAGGATAGACAGGGTCAAGATTCGACGGAAGAGCTCCCCAGGCGAGATTGTGCGCGAAGACAGCGCTAGAAGTCAGTTGCCAACCGAACAGGCAGAGCAGAAATGCCGAAAACACTGACATGTTGGCAACGGTGGTTCGACAAGGTTGGTAGCAGAGTTTCTTTGAAGATGGGATATCGATTCGATGTCCATCTTTTTATGAAGGAAAGGAAAGGGACAGTGATTGACCTGAGTTCGGGCCAACGTGTGTTCACGGGAACTTCATATTCTGCATGTCTTTCACTTCTCATAGAACTTCACGGTAACAGAGAAGAAATTTTTATGGATATTTGTCATGGAGGATTGTTCTGGACATTTGTCAAGGTGGATCGTGCTCGTGAATCGTACTCGTGAATCGTGCTTGTGTGCTCGTGAATATGCCTGAATGATTTGAGATGTTAGGTCTAGTTCCCGGCTCATGCTCCCTCGATATAAACTCGGAAATCTCCTCAACCAAAGCTTTTCCTCCATCCTCCTGTCCTCTTCCATCCCATCCCCCGGCTCATCTTCGCGCTGTCCGTTACAGGATGTTTTGGCTCATATTTCTGCTGGTGATTCTTGCCACTGGCAGTCCTGACATTAATACTCCTCCACATGATCCTCCCTCATCTGATCTACCCATCACAGACCTCACCTTCGTTCGCAAATGGGCAGCCATTGGCGACAGCTACACAGCAGGCATTGGTGCCGGTGATCTGTGGAGCGATAAAAAAGAAGACACCAAATGCTCCCGCTACGACAAGTCATATGTAGCACTTCTGAAGCATATGTTGGGTCCACAAGTGACCAATTTCACATACACGGCATGCAGTGGCGCTCGTACTAGCGACATCTACAGCCAGGCCCAGGACCTTGATAAATTCCACGACCTCATAGTCCTGACCGGTGGAGGAAATGACTTGTGCTTGGTATGCTAGCCTCTCCTTCATCTCACTATAGTGAGCCTCTAACTGACTACCTGGCCAGTCCGATATCATCACCACCTGCATCTTTCTCCCTTTCAATAGCGAAGAGAAGTGTCAGAAGGTCATTGAATTGGCTCAAGAAAACATCAAGTTTATCCTGGGGTACAACGTTCGCAGGATCCTCGAAGTCGCTGTGAGCAAGGTGAATGCTTTTGGCATCATTGTCTGGGCTCTTTACGGCCAGTTCTTCAACACGGAAACTGATGACTGCGAGAAGAATCAGGACTGGGCCTTCCCTGGTCTGGCTCCATTCGATGCTTTGCCTTTGACTCGCGAGCGTCGCGAGAAACTCAATCAACTGGTTACTGACACAAACAAGGTCATTAAGAAAACCATCGAGGATTTTGTCATGGATAAGGGAAAGTATTTCCCAAGAGTGCATATCCGTACTGCCGATTGGAATGACTTCATGAAAGACGGCCTCAAAGGACAGTACTGCGTGCCAGAATCAACAGGCAAATATCCCGATCCCATGCAGCCGAACTTGCATTTCTTCAAGCCAGACACCACCTATGAACGCCACACGGAACTGAAAGCGAAGCGCGACAACATCACCGAAACCTCCTTTTCCTCCTCCGCCGATACTAATGACACCCTTTCATCTTTGTACGACTCTATCCTCTACCGCTCTCCCAACCCGGCTGCAGCTGCCCTTTACGAGCTGAATCCCACCGGCGTAACCTTACCCCCAGGCTGCCCGGGTGACAAAGGTATAGGATTCGGGCTCCCCGACCGCTGGGGCAAATACTTCCACCCAAACGAGCTCGGCCACAAGACCATTGCCTCCTTCGTGCTAGATGGCATATATGCCGCACGGGCTGATTTCCTAGGCAAGAGGAACCCCATCTGCTCGCGCGGTTTCGAGGAGTTCCGATGCTGGCAAAATGACGGCCGAAAGGACTACGCAAGCGCGGACCTCCTAAACAAGAACTACAAGACCTACTGCAAGGAAGTAAAACCCCCCAAGAAAACGGCAAATTGGAAAGACGAGCGCTGGTTCCACCAACAAACCCCAGAAACGCACAGCTTCAGCATCCAACTCAGCGACGGCGCCACTCACTTCGACCAAGGCCACTGCATGGAGTCCTTCGAACGTATCATCAACTCCTGCGATGGCAATGATCCGAAAAATCCGATGAACTGGAAATTCGGGGGTCGCTGGACTCGCGGGAGCTATACGTATGAAGTTAACATTGCGAACTCGTTCAAGAGACCCTGGCCGCCGACGAGAGAAGTTGGGGGTTTTTGCGATAGCAGTTATAAGTTCTGGTACCAGAGGTATGATATGAGAGGCAGAGGATGGGCAACTTCGGATGCGGGTCAGGATACGCTGAAGCCGGCTATTATAAGCTGCGTGGGACACGGACTTACGGGATGGGACTTTCAGTATTTGGATCATCCGGATTCTGATGGAAATGAGTGGGTGGCTAAATTCAATACGCCAATTTTGACGGGACCCAGATGCTTTGATAATAATAGGGTGCAATTCAACGCTGGGGGTTTCACGCGGGGTTGTCATGGGGTGTTGCGACGTGATCCTTGAGGTCAATGAGGGATGAATTAGGGTTACGGGTGAGATAGATAGTCAGCCGAAGGGCGATGGACTCGCTTGTGTGACCGCTCATGATATTGGGAACATGTAATCTAGTGTTGGGCAGAGAAACGAGTTGGATTTATCTAATTTTTCGATTATTCTTTGAGTTCTACCTCTGAATCAATTGGCAAATATCGCTGTGTCTCAATAGTAACAAGTGTGATTACCGGGTTAATTTGGTAACTACAGCATCATGATGTATCCGCGCCAGTTTAATAAATTATCATTGAGTTACTTCTTCCCTGCCATATACAAATACTAAATGGGTGATTGTCTCAATATTTCTGTTGTTTGGAAATATATACATGTATATATATTATATATATATATATATGGCACCCGTATTCTAAGGTGTAGTAACTTCCCCTGCTTGGCGCCTTACATGTACATCCCTTTAGCGCCTGCCAAGAATCTTCGGTCTTCCGCACCAGACACCCCGTTACATTCATTAGTTACTTTGTTCTCTCTTTCCTCTTTCCAGTTATCTTGGTTATTCATAACCCGGCTCTTCTCCTTGCTACTCACTCTGCACATAGCCTTGGCTGCAAGGTGCCTCTGCTTTTATGAGATGCAGTCCATAAGTCGTGCAATGAAGCGCATATCCTTCCTTCGCGCCAAACCTCTCCAGCTCTCACGTTCACTCTCAACTATAACTCCCATTCCCCAACACGAACTTGTGGACGAGGAGCTCAGTCCTGGCTTCAATCCCAAACACTACTATCCTGCGAAACCCGGGGAGGTTCTTGCCGATCACTATCAATTGCTAGTCAAGATTGGGTGGGGGGGCGGTTCAACTGTGTGGCTCGCCCGAGATGTCGCAAGGCATGTACATATTGACTTTCATACGTAATTGCGGCCACGGTTCGCATTTCTAACCTCTATTCGAACCACACGGTTAGATATCGATGGCAGGCTGAACGCATTGTAGCCCTCAAAATCCTCAACAACAACAATCCCAAGGGTGCCGACCATGAGCGTCGTATTGAAGAACACATCGCTGAGCAAACTCCTTCACACCGCGGTCGTCCGGTTATCCGCAGTTACCTTGAAAGCTTTGAATTGGCAGGTCCCATCGGCAAACATATCTGTCTAGCCTACGAGCCATCGCGGGAGCCTCTCTGGTTATACCAAAGACGGTTCGAAGGCGACAGGTTCACCCTGCCGATGGTTAAAGCCTATATTCTTATCATTCTAGCTGGTCTCGATTACCTACATTCTGTGTGCAAGGTAGTCCATACTGGCGAGTATATCCATCTGGCACCAAAATTTATTAATCTAATACACTTTTGTCAGACCTGAAACTCGACAATATCCTCATAACCTTCGAAAATGAGAACATCCTCCCGAGATTCGTCAAAGAACAAGAAAAGGCTCAGTCGATGCAATGCAAGACGGATCCGGAAACCGGTCGCGTCATCTACCGCTGTCACAACAACTTCGGACCACTTGACCCGAGCGGACTCGGCAACATATACCCTCAAATAACCGATTTTGGCGCCGCGACTCTACTCGGCACTGGTGGAGATGATGGCGCCGTTCAACTGGGTACTCGTCCTATACAACCTGACTATTATCGCGCACCAGAGGTCATTCTGGGATGTGGGTGGAGCTATAGTGCTGATATATGGAATCTGGGTGTTATGGTAAGACATACATGCATTCAAGAGTACGTGGTGATCATAAAGTACTCACGTTCTACAACAACAGATATGGAATATACTCGAAGGCACAGAGTTGTTCACCCAGGTACAGGATGCGGAGGGAACTTACCTCCCAGAAGTACATCTAGCGCAGATGATAGCCCTGCTTGGGCCCCCGCCTAAGAAATTGCTTGTGATGTCGGAGTCCATGGCACAGGTTGAGTGGTCACCAGCTATCACTGATGAAAGGGGTAAGATATTCAAGAACAATAGGGAATACTTTGGTGGGCCTTTCTTTGATGAAGAAGGTATTGATACCCTTTCCTTTTTTTTTTCCACTGCATATATGCGTGTATCTCTGACCCTAATCCATATTACGGTAGGCAACTTCCTCTACAACGATTTGATACCCGCGCGAAAGCTTGAAGATGCAGTCCCATCTCTAGAAGCGAGCGACAAGGAAGCTTTCCTATCTTTCATCAAACAGATGCTCACTTGGTTGCCTGAGGAACGAAAGACAGCTCGGGAGTTGATGGAGCACCCTTTCCTCAATGATTGAGGGGGGATGGGTGAGCTGTCATAGTATTACAGTCCAGCTAAGGTGTCTATTGCTCACTTGGGGGTCTTACTCTAAGAGCAACTCCATATACTCGCCTCGACTTGTTGGTTGGGTTGGGAAAAGTGCTCATGGTAAAGCAAACACGCATCCATCAATTATCGAACGATCAGGGTAAGATATCCCTGAAGGGTATATATGACAAACGATTCTCTCCACGATACCGTACCGATCTGGAGGATCAAGCCGAAGCGATTGAGACTTTCGGCATGGCTTGCTTTTGATCTTAGTCTCGAGAGATATTACTTGGTCATGCTATTATTTATGCCTGGTAAACTAGATATTCTCTGATGTGATGCGAAGGAATCAATGATATAAAGTGTAGACTGTAGCGATGTGGAGTAGTAGGGATGTACTAAATATATGAACCAATCAGATCAATCAGTTACATATTTAAAGATACTACTAACGGTGTGATACTACTATGTAAGTAGCTACTACATAGTTCCCAAAGTAATATGAAGTATTGCTGCGCTTGAGATGCTATTCTTTTGGATTGATGTACTAGTTTACATGTTATTTACTTGATGTTATCATGTAATCATCATCATAATAACGTTGTCAGCCGCAAGGCTGTAGGTTTGCGAGGCTGAACTTTATCTTTACTTGTGTAGGACTCGAACTAACCATATATCCTGGTGAAGATTCTCATATCTGCGAATGATTACTGCTACTGCTGCTGAGATGACTTACATATTCCAAAATCCTCATATGCTTCGCAACTCCCAGCTACAACTACTGCACAGCACGCATAGAAATCTGTACACTATGTACCTTAAACAATATATAGACTAGTAGCGAATCCGACCCTGAAGCAAAAGAAAAAGGAAAGTAAACTACAGTTTCGTCATGGCTGTCATCATAATCATAAGATAATAAGTAAGAAATTATAACCCCTCCTCATACCCCTATCCTTCCAACCAACCTATCTGCCATACCCAGCAAGTAGATACCCTCATCCACACCTCCAAACCCCCCTCAGATCTGGTCTACAAACAAAAGTCAGCAAACCTCAACCCCGCAAAAAGAGTATAAACGGTATCAGGGAACATACTCAACGTCATACTCAAACTAACATCCGTATTCTCAACCATATCCGTAAACTCCTCGAAGCTAATCTTACCATCACCATCCTTATCAGCCTCCATGATCGTCTTATCAACAATCTGCTGCAGCTGCACATCCTTAAGATTGTTTCCGACCATCATCTTCAGCACGATGAACAATTCGCCATTGGAGATGTACCCGTCGCGATCGATATCGTATACTTTGAATGCGAAGCGCAGCTTCTCTTCTTTGTTGCCCTTGGAGCTGAAGGCTGATAACCCGGAGACGAATTCTTGGAAGTCGACGTCGCCGCCGCCGTCTTCATCGAAGATGGCGATCATTCTATCATTTCACTTTGTTATTATTATGTTTCCCAGATTTCATGTTCGGTGTAGTGTTGTTGGAAAGGTGGTATAGGGTGGGAAGGGAGGGGAGTACCTCGTGGCGAGCGGGTTAGAGGAGACTTGAGGAAGGGAGAGGAATTCATCGCGGTCGATGGTGCCGGAGCTGTCCTGTATACATCGGCATTATGATTAGCTATAGAACAGGTAGGGTAAAATAAGGTATAACGTGGAGAAGGGGGCAGTACCTTATCAAGCTTCATGAAGCGCTTGCGGAGACGGTCCACTTCATCGCGATCGACTGCCAGATTCCGATGATGTAGTCAGCAAGGCCGGACACCCCGATTGATAATTATTTTACAGACGCGACCGCTACCCACAGTTGGAGGCGGACACAATGTTTTCGAAGAGCTGAGAAGTTCCGACGGAGCCCCTGCGTCTCCGGGCATCGTAAAGGGCCGCGTTGTTGGGTTCGCTGGAATGATCCATGATGGGGAGCGGAATGTGGCGATCACAGGGAAGGAGAGAAGCAGAAGCGGCAACGGCAAGAACCAGAGACTAGGTGGAGAAAATAATAGTTTAGAAAGAGGGAGGAAAGGGAAGCAGTTCCCACACCAATTCAATACACAGTGAAACTCTGGGGGGGGAATGAATGATCACGAGGGAACAACAATAGATAGATAGATCGATATCAATCACTGCAAGCAACGAGGTTCCCCCAGCCGGCAATTTGATATCGGGCAGCCCCGCACTAACCGGAAACGGACAGGCAAGCGAACCCCTGAGGCCGTGCGCCGGGCCAAAACAGGCCACCGCCGGGTGACATTGCAACGTCAACTCATCCGCCAGTGCCAATACTACGAGATTTCCCGCGTCGATATCATCCCATCACCATCGACATTCATCACGAAACTACGTCTACGCGCTTTCGCATGATCGGCCCTATCGCCTGATACCAATTTTAGCCCCCCTCGCCCATGGTCGTTGCCCTTTTCCGCGCCCCAAAGTTCGTATGACTAGGTACGGGGGAATGGGGAGGACGCGCCCGAAAAAGCTCACCTCCAAGGCCTCCATCCCCATAGTCCGGGAGCACGACATAGATCTCATCGACGATGAAATCCAAAATGCCCTACAACAGATCGAGACCGGCGTGGAAAAGGCTGAGGAATCGGTAAGTGATGCCTCATCCCCGACCGTTGCGAGCATCCCTGTGCATATCACGTGACATCATCCCGACCTCACCCCATCGTGAAAATTTCGCACCTCGGCAGAAACACCGCAACAGCGCCTGCTAACGCCTGTTCTTGTATAGGAATTCCATCTCCAGGTCGCCATAAATGCCGCTGCGCAGGGAAAAGTAAAAGATGCCCATATTCCGACGCCGGAGACGGTCCTCAGTAACCTGCGCTATGATGAGCTCTACCCGCCTATCTTCTCGCAACCTGCGACCTACATTCGCTTCTCTGCTACGGTAGAGGACTGTTGCGGAGCCCCGTACTGCATGGACGAGGAAGATGATGTCTTCCTCAAGATCTTCAACCAAAAACGCGATGCGGGTAGTCGGTGCACCGAAGACCAGTTCGAAGAGGTTATGAGCTTCTTCGAGCTCACGTCGCGAAAGGAGCAGCCATATGCCTTTGTAGATAACTCGCCCCTCATGAGCTTCGAAGAATTCCAACAAGCGATGGACCCAGCTGTAGAGGAGAGTGTAAAGCGGTTCGCCAAGGACATCTATGAATACTGGAAGTCCAGGAGGACCAGCAACGGCAACGAGCCCCTACTACCTACACCGAAGGTGAGTCCCCTCGCTAACGGCAGTTATGAGGTTTGGCAACACCAGAGTGCTAACCGATTACCGCAGGTTGAGGCTGGTCGAGACACCGATGATACGGACCCGTATGTCTGCTTCCGTAGGCGTGAAGTGCGGCAGACGCGCAAGACCCGTGGTAGGGATGCGCAGAGTGCCGACAAGCTGAGGAGACTCAGGAAGGAGCTGGAAGATGCTCGACAGATGGTCGCTTTGGTGCGCCAACGCGAGCTAGCGAGGAAGGAGATGCTGGCCATCGAACGCCAAGTGTTCTTGCAGAGATCGGAGGTCAAGGAGATGAAGAGGAAGCTCAACATCAAGGACGATGATGAGGACCTCATCAACCAGAAGGTGAGCCCTATGCAGTCCCGCGACCGTCTGCTGCACATGCTGATGACTCTGCAAAAGCCGAAGAAGAAGCCTGTAGAAGCACCAGCTGTGCAACGCCCGGCTGCGCCTCAACTGCGCATGCCCCCCAAGGCTGGTACACAAGCTGCAGAAGACCTACAGCTGTTGGAGGATGTTCAGGCAGAGAAGGAGAACGAGATTCAGCGCGACATCAAGCAGAATATCGCCAAGCACGTCAAGTGGAACGAGGGCTATGTGGATTTCACAAGAGCACCACTCTCCCCGTCGCCAGAGCGAACTTTCGATGCTGCTTCTTTCCGCCCTGCAATCACCACTCAACTGCCCACGCCGCCATCATCGGAATCATCCGACAATATGCTGGATTCGCCCTTAGATACCACGAGTGCCATTGCTCTCCGAGATAAATTAGCTCCACATGCCATGGAATTGAGTGTGGACACCAGCAAGATGCCCTCGTTCAGACGACGTATCGGGCGCGGCGGTCGTTTGTGGATCGATCGTCGAAATCTGGTGTCCCGTTGTAGAGTCGAAATGGACCCGTGGAAGGCCGATCGGTTCAAGTATGATCAGGAGGACTCGGACGAGGATCTCGAATTTGAAGGAGACCAGTACGATATCCAGATCATGCAGCATCGGGCCATCATGGCAGCCAAAGCCCGAGACCAAGCAGCGGCGGCAGCTCAAGCCCATGCGCAGGCGCAGGCTCAACAAGCACAGGCTCAAGCTCAGGCTCAACGGCGATTGCAGGCCGAACAGACATCGGCGACCAATCCACCAAGCGGAGGGCAAACCATGGGATCCAATCCCGGGCCTGGCGCCATTGCCTCCACTTCAGAGACCTAAGCTGGCCTTTGTTCTTCTCCCCTCTCTCTTCCCTTCTGATTATGTTTTTAATCTTTCACCCCATGTTTCGCATCTGGCCGGCGTTGTTCTTTCGACATATTCTCTTACCCTCACCTGTACTTTTACCCCCTGGACGTCCTGATTCTTTACCCCATACCCCGAATATCTTTTCTTTCCGGAGCGCTGCAAAGCGTTCGACCCTCAGGATGATGTTGCCGGATGATGCTTTGTTTATGACATGACCCTGGTATTATGCGAAAGTTAGTGTACATAGCCAGTTTTGTCCTCTTTTTTCTTTTCTTTCAGCCGAGCAGTCGATAGACTCGTGTACGGATAGTGAGGCTATGAGGTCAGCGACGAAGAAGATAACAAAAATCAATATTAATTAGATGAAAAAGGAGAAAAAATCAAACTTTTGGTCTTATCCATCATAATAAAACAGTTTTTCGGGTTCGAGATTTAAGCGTCAAGTCCTCAGAGCTTTGTTCCTCTGCGGCTCGTCGCTATCGCCATTTGCTGCACGCTTGAGAGGATTGCTCTGGAGTGCGGCCCCGAACTGCTTGTCGAGCATGAAGGACAGGTTGTACAGGATCTCCTTTTCGCCGAGGCGGACCTGGATCGCCATCTTCTTGCGACGAACAGATCCTTCCACCGGGCCGGATGCTTCAAGCTGCGACAACTGGGCGAGGAGTTCCTGATCCTGGGGGATGGTAGTCGCATACTGAGCCTGGTTCAACTGCAGAGCCTTGGCAAAGATGGCGGCTTCCGCATCACCGAAGGATGGCTTGGGGGGCTTGTTCTTCGAGCGCTGCTTCTCCAACTGGTCGGACGGGAGCGACAGGGTCTTCAACAATAGCAAGAGCTCATCCGGAAGAATATCAGCCAACGGATCCTCAGGGGAAGAGGGCCTTGGGATGGTATAGCCGTCGTCAAGAAGTTCCAAGTCTTCGAGGAATTGAAGCTAACGTTAGGTCAGCATATGGTTTCCGGTGCCAGGTGGGTCTTATGTCAGTTGTTTACCGGAGGTTGGGTCTCAATATCGGCACTTCCAAGGCCAGCAGCCTGGCATATTTGGTCCAATGAGAGCTCGACAACGTCGTATTGGGCATAGTTGTCAGTCACGTAACCGTACCGTCTCAGAAGGTCAGAACGGGGGATCTCCCCATAGTCGTTGAAGATCTCCTCGCCCGATTTGATAGGCTTGATAGCCTTCATAACCAAGACTTCTTCTTCTTGGAAAAGACGAGCCTGAAAGGAAACCCTTAGTCAGCGATCATGTAGCAAGAATCGAAGATCAAACAGAACTCACATTGTTGCGATCGGCATCCGCATTGAGCAGATCGGCCAGAGGAACCATGCCCTTGGACGATTGCTCTTCTTCTTCATCGGTCAAGTAACCGTCTTCACCATCACGGTCACCCTCTTCATCTTCCGGTTTCTCGATGTCAAAAGCGTAGGCCATGATAAGCGATCCCATAGTATGTGCGAGGTGAAGGAGGGCCTGGGTCCCAGCGTCTCCATCGTAAGAGGCAACTCCGTCGATGGGAGGGAATAGGGCAGGATTTGCTCGCACGATAGGAGCAATGGACTCAAGAATGGATTCCTCGGCTCCCTGCTTCCCGATCTTCTCGACAATAGCGCTGCCCTGAAGCTCCTCAAGCTCGGAGGCGGACCAGAACATGAGGGTGTCAAAATTGCGAGGAAGAACCCGGAAGTATGAAGCCCACGCAGACTGATCGCCTTGAAGAAACTCATAGATCATGACAACCATGAGAGACAACCAAGGGCCAAGATCGTCGAGGTTCTGGGAGAGCAGGTTCTTCAAATTGGAATTCTGAACCGAGAGAACATGTGCGCGGGGGATGGTAAAAAGCTCTTCACCTTCGTCGAGATCGGACTGAGCCACTGGTAGAGTGACACGAGGACATCAGAGAGGGAGTCACTTCCAAGAAAAAACGGGTTTCATGAGACAAGCACGAGCGGGATAAAACCTCGTCTGGGATGGGAACCTACCGACACCTCGGCCAGCAGCGTGGGAGCGCAGATCTGCAATTTGGATCTTGGGGTTGATTTTGACGCCGGGCTTGCCAGCCAGCCAAGTGAGAAACTCATTTGACTGGTGCTGGAAGTTTCCCGGGTCGGGAAAATGGGTGGTGGAAGACATTTGGGGGGTTGATGGAGGAGAGATTGTGTGAATAGTGTCGACCTAAGAAAAAGGAAATTCGGCACCCCACACCCACTACTGTGTTAAGGACGGCTCAGGAGTGAAAGGAGCGGGAAGGATAGCAGTTTGACAGCCGAACAAAGAGAAGAAGATGCAGCTGCTGGGACAGCTAGCCAGGTGGTGAAAGAAAAGGGGAGGGTGTGGGAGGGTGAGAGATTGACGGGGGGGAAGTTGAGGGGATCAGGCGGTGCTCCTCCGGTAGTAAGTAAAGTAACTAATTAGTAGTAATTAGTTGGCAGGCAAACGGGCGTATGGAAAGTATGGTACAGTAACTGGTGTTCCAGCAAAATGACAGTCGGATAAACGCTGCGGCGGACCAAATCGGGCCAATCGATAACACGCCTGATAACCTTCCGAACCAGCACCGAATTTGCCCCTCCGCGACTGGCTCATGTCCGCGGTCTCGAAATTTTGACCAGCCTGTAACCACCCCTTCTGAGATATTGGGACCTTCTTTTTCCGTCATTGAGCCAGATACCCCCTGCACATCATGATTTCCATCGGTCTGGAGAGCTCCGCCAACAAATTGGGCGTGGGCATCATGGTGCATCCCGACGATGGCAAGCCCCCGCAGGTGCTGGCCAATGTTCGGCACACCTATGTCACCCCTCCCGGTGAAGGATTTCTCCCCAAGGACACCGCCCGTCATCACCGCGCCTGGGTTGTGAAACTGGTCAAGAAGGCTCTTCGCGAAGCTCAGATCTCCCCCAAGGATGTGGATTGCATTTGCTTCACTAAGGGCCCCGGCATGGGTGCCCCTCTTCAGAGCGCCGCCATTGCGGCCCGCATGTTGAGTCTACTATGGGGCAAGGAATTGGTGGGCGTGAATCACTGTGTTGGACGTATGTGTTATGCCTAGTACTTCACTGCTCTATTTATCTATCAGTCCCCGATCCTATCTGCACCGTGCGGGGAAACCCTTTGGCCCGTGTCATCCCTTGCTTAGCTTGACCTCCCTATTGCAACCATCGCTAACCATGCCTCGGCTGTATATATAGATATCGAAATGGGTCGATTGATTACCGGTGCACAAAATCCCGTCGTCCTCTATGTCTCCGGAGGAAACACCCAAGTCATCGCATACAGCTCCCAACGGTACCGCATCTTTGGCGAAACCTTGGATATTGCAGTAGGAAACTGCTTAGACCGCTTTGCGCGCACGCTGCGCATTTCCAACGACCCCGCCCCCGGATATAACATCGAACAATTAGCCAAGAAGGGTAGGAAACTGGTCGATCTACCGTACACGGTCAAGGGAATGGACATTTCCATGTCCGGTATCTTGGCGGCCATTGATGGACTGGCCGTGCAGTATGGCTTGGATGGAGATTGGAATGACGACGAGGATGTCGCTAACAATGCGTCTACATCGGACGATCTGGAGAACGCGAAGCCGACGCGCGCGGATCTATGCTTCTCGCTCCAGGAAACGGTTTACTCCATGTTGGTTGAGATCACAGAGCGCGCCATGGCACATGTCGGTTCGAAGGATGTCCTGATCGTCGGTGGAGTGGGCTGTAACGAGCGCCTGCAGGAAATGATGGGCATCATGGCTCGCGACCGCGGTGGTACCATTCATGCGACCGACGAGAGGTTCTGTATTGATAACGGCATCATGATCGCGCAGGCCGGATTACTGGCATATAAGTCCGGTAGCACAACACCCTTGAAGGATTCCACTTGTACTCAGCGCTTCCGGACAGACGATGTCTTTGTCAAATGGAGGGATTGATTTCTATTCTTGTTCCATTGGATGATGATGATTTAGATGAATGAGATGAATATAATCTATAGAGTCATGAGCAAAGGTTTCCGATAGTACGGGATTCGGCACCCGGAGTGCGTCCGTGCATCCAGACGAACTGGAGCAAGGGCTAGTATTGATTGGAGCCCGCTTGATCGCATTCTTTCTACCGAGTAACGATTGGCGCAGTTTGACTCAGTTGCCACGGACACAGATGACAGGTTGGGATTAAGAATATCAAGTCGGTTATGACTAGTTGTCCCTCCGACGGGTGGAAGCAAGCGTCAAGGGCGTACATCAAACACTCCTGGCTGACCGAAAGCAGCAACGCCTATGTAAAACAGCCGCGCATTTCAGCTGCAAGCAAGGTTGACAACAGGGGCTTAGCTATCGAAGATTTGTCGCTAGCCATGCATCGTTCCGAACACCAACAACAACAATGGTCTAATAGTGGCGCTTTCTGCACCGCAAATAGTCGGACATCGAGCAACCATAAGGACGTGAATCATACAAAGTGGCTTGAGCTTGGGTTCCGGCTATGTGCAACTCTGCAATGTCGAAAGATATACCCAAAGGAGATATCTGTTGTTATTTCTCCTGCTTCTGCGAGGGCCTTCAGTGTCTTATCCTCCATTTCGATGCCTTATCCTCCAGTTCGATGCGCAGATAGCATACGGTCGACATGCGGGGTGCTCGGCCCCGCTCTGGCAGCCAAAGTAATACAATCCCCTTCTGGCTAGAGATAAGGCACGAGGGACGTGCAGGGAACCTTATCCCATTGACAGGCTAACCTGTAATATCGTCTGTCGGCTTGTACAATATCGTTGTGACGTACTGCATACCGTTAATTCCCGTGGCTTCGTGACAAAGAGGTGCCATCTTACCTTCCGTTTGTATCTGGTCGTTACACTGGTGGCAAGCACACCATTTTTTATACTGCTAGTAGCGAGATGGTTTAGGACGGTGTGGTTAGGGTAGTTAAGAACACTGCTATCGTCCTTCATGGGTGTGGTGCCGTTCAAGATTGATTTGCCAAGGAACAGCGGAAGGCTCGGCGGTGTAGGCGCATCCCCAACGATATTCACAGCTTGCTGGTACTCAGGTGTTTCTTCCTCACGATCTAGATCAAGCAGAAATTGTGGGATAACACCACGGAAGTCACCCAACGGGATTTCCTCGGGCTCTTCTCTGTCTGACTGTTCCTCCACTGTGGACCCCACTTGATCATTCCCGACCGGTCCAGGAATGACCTGCGGAGGTCGAACGCCATCAGGGACCTTATCGCTTTCTCTCCGTGACCGGTTGACGTCATCAGCACTGATTTCAATGTAGTTGACGAGGTGATTTGTGAAATCGACTGCTGTGGGAAGATTATCTGAAGCGCGCATTTCACCATCGACAATAAATTTCAAATGGTGCGTGCCCGGACGGAGGTTCAATCTTGTGGACAAGACGCCGGGGTTGTTCTCACTGTTTATGCAGGGTTCCAGTTAGTTCTGATAACGTAAAATAGCCCAGATAACGAGCAATGCGACTGGACATAGGGGACAGCGGACGCGACAACATAACATACCTCCGATGTAAACGGAATTTCTTCTCCCAGTTCACAAACGTTCCCGTAACGTAGACCTTATCACCAGGAGCAGTCCATTCTATCAGGGTCGGCACAGCTCTTCCCACGCCGCTCGGAGTATAGGGTTGAAGTTCATCCAATGCCTCATCGTCATCGACCGTGGCGCCAGCTACGGCGGATTGTTTCGAATCGCGGTGTTCATCCAGCAGATGGTCGGGTGCAACCGATCCCATATACGAGTCCTCCGGACCAATAATGGGCGAACCGGGGGTGGCCGTGGCATCTCCAATGGGCAGGGGCATCCGCGGTGGGCGCTGAAGATGAACAGAGGCGCTGTAATAGGCATGGGGAGGAGGGCCAGAGGGTGCTACAGGGTCACGTTTTGCAGCCGCCCGGGATCCCGGAACTTGGACGGGGTTGGACGGATCAGGCGCAGGAATGTCTCTGGAGCGAGTATCTGGCTTCTTTGGAACCTGACGGTCTGGCCGATCTAGGTTCCGCGTCGGCAAATCTGTGACATTGCGGGATTGTAAACGCTGCTGGACGGAAGGCTGAACTTGGGAGGTCGGGAGGCCCGTTGCAGTTTCTCTGGTGGCGGAGGGGTCGGCTGCGGAGGCCTTGGTGGTGCCCGATGGTGTATGAATCGATGACCGGCGAGCTACTTTCTTGTCCCCCGCCGCGGCCGAGGGAGCCGACGGCGATTGGGCATCTCCGGCAGGGGGTTTGGAAGGATTGTTGCCCATCTGGAACAGGGAGCCGGTGGGAGGCGCTTGTAGGAAGGAAAGGAAACTGAGTCAGGCAGGTTAGATGCCTTGTTGAAGACAAGAGAGACGAGTTGTGAGTTCCGTGATCAGGGTTGGGATGCCAGCATCAGATGGTGTCGGGGTTTGGAAGGCGGAGGGGTAACGGAAAATAAAGAGGGAATCGGGGCGAAGGGAAAATATCGGGTGGACAAAGGCCTTCGGATGCAGATGGGATCTAGGAAATATGCTGACGATAATAGGAAAGGCGCCGGCTCAAGGATGGGATGGAAGAGGTATATAAACAGAGCAGCGGGCGAGGATCGAAGAGAAAGAATGCGATGGGCAGCCAAGTAAGAGTTGATGATGTCGATGTCGTCGACCCCGGACGGGCTAGTCCCATGGAGAAGTTCCCCTTAGGGTTTAGGGCTTCCCTCCTTGGTTTTCCCCGACGGCCGGTCGGCTGTCATCTCCGATGGTGACTTGGTATGTCAACTGTAGTATACTGCATCATCTTCGAGGGAATATGCGAGATATAATCACCGTGTTTGCTAATAATTTTAGCACATTTGAAATATTCAGGCAAGCCCATGGATGAAAGAGGAATGTTGATTACCCCATAGAATAAATACTAGGAGTACATACTTATAACGATAACAATCGATGAACCAAAACAAGTCATTCAACAATACCATTTCTGCCACCGCAGACCGCTTACCGGACAGGCAGCGCCATCATCCATCCAAGCATTATTTACTTCTGTATAGTTCACTCTACTGCTGTATCCCTTCCCATTGCACAACAAGGCCGTGTCATAAATTGCCTCAGCTGACGCACCTGGAATGCTCTATGTAACCAACCAGCTGCTTCTGGAACACTTTTAGCCACGCGAATGGATTGGGTTACCGCCTTGACAGCGAGCTCCGGTGCCGTGCTCTATGCTCTGGCTTACCTGGCTTCCTGGGTCTATGGGCTGTTCAGTGTACTAGCCTCGCCAATGTGGATCCTAGCCCATGCCATCCTCTATGTGCTCCTTTCTCCACTAAGGCTTCTAATCAAATTCGAGGTACGAATGGATAGATTCTCCATCCTTTCTAGCAAGTACTGGTCGCAACCCAAGGAATAAACACTTATGGTTTACCTAGGCCATTCTTAGCTACTTCACAGTAGCCGCATTGATGGGGGTTATCCTGGGAATATCAATTCATTATGCGTCGTCGGTTACTGTGGAGGCGGTTCATCAATGGTTTGGTTCACTGAAGTATGACCCAGCTCGCCCTAGGCGGAATAGTTTTCATGGACGTCTACTTGATAAAGTCAAAAGAGGGACTTCTCCGAGCGATTCCAACGCGTCCGACGAGAATATGCCGGAGTGATAGACCGACGCGAGGGATAGGCTCAACCCGATGAGAACCTGGCATCGTCTACACGATCCTCGAAGGGGAAGAAGCAGCAGCAGCAACCGGGCCGAGGAATGACGGAACGCTTTAAACTAAATCATGAGCATAGTAGTAGTGGGCATGTCAGCGGAAAGTGTAGTGATTACGTCTGTACTATATATTTTAGCATTAGCATGTGTTAGCTTATTTCACAGTAGACTATTACGCCTCTGAGCGGTTCGACCGAATGCATGACAGATAGTAGCGGAGGCAGACGGATCCTCGCTGGCGGACGGGGCTGGTAATCTCCGGAATAATTGACGCAATCAATCCGCGACAGTATGGATGGACCCTGCCGCTCATCCAATTCCCCACTGCAATTATACTTCCATGAGACTCAAAAGACAAAAAGACTCTCCCTCATCTTATCTTAATGAACTATTAGAATAGCCCCCAATTTCCACTATTTTAGTAGTAGTAGTAGTATTACTACTAGGGACAGTTGCTTGTTATTATTTACCCTAAACATTAATCATCTGTTCATTTAATTTGCTTTTCTTTCTTTTTTTTTTTTTTTTTTCCCGCCTCTTCTCACCGCAATACGAATTACTGGAGGGGAAAAATAAAGTATAAATATCAACTTAAACATTACATTGCAGCCCATTCTAACCATGGTCCACTCAGTAACACCGATGTCATCACTCCTGATTGTTTGTTTCGACTTGACATGAATCATACCCCTGCGACTATACTATCAATCTATAACTCAGGTCAAACTACCTTTTGAAAGTGGATTGCTTATCACCGAACATCGTGCTGTGGGTCTCTCGAACCATCAATCAACAAGAACAACCCCTCGGTCTCGAACGGACCATCCTGCAATCTGTCCAGGGTTCGCTTCGCTTGTTCATCTCCGTCCTTTAATCATTCCTTCTTCGCAAATTCCCCCGACACTCTTCTTTCCTATCCTTTAAATCTATTTTCAAAGGTACTCTGCAGCTCCTTCTTCTTCGACACGCATGTCTTCTCCATTCATCAGCCTCGTTACATTTCCTCTCGAGCCTTGCTGACGCCTCCCCGGACGCCTCCAATGCCTTTCCCCCTGCGCTAGCGGTGTCTTCTCCGATATAACGACTACGTCAGACTCTCCGTGCTATACTTTGCGATCCTAACGAGACCACGAAACCATTGACAGCCGTTGACATTCCTGTCGCAACATTCCAAACACAATGTTTCCCTCTCGAGCGTTCTTACGAGTGCGCTCCCTATTACTTGCGATATTCATCCTATTAACATTCGCTTGGTCCTATTCAAGATGGCGCAGCTATCCTCTGACCGAGCAAGCCCCATCCATACAAACACACCAAGCGACTCCTTCGAATAACAGACATACCGAAGGCCACATCCAATTCTGGCGTCAATTCCAGCCACTTCTAACCGCCCATGAGCCAAAATGCGAGCCACCTCTGAGATTAGGATCGGCGCCGTCAATTAGGTTCGAACAATCGAACCCAGAAGACCGCCCGGAGCTGCTGGACATGCTCCCTTTCGACGTGGATACGATGAAAAATGCGCACAGCGGCTTTGTTAATGCAATCAATACCAACCCGCCCCAGCTAAACTATACACAGAATACGCGAGGCTTGGTTTCCACCGCGGGGGGCTCCTACTTACCTGTGCTGGTGATCTCGCTTCGTATGCTTCGCAGAACGGGCTCAAAGTTACCCGTTGAAGTTTTCCTCGCAAATGAAGAAGAATATGAGGATCATATCTGCGAAGTGGTCCTGCCATCGCTGAACGCGCGATGTGTGCTTCTGTCGGAAATTCTCGACGCCGTCCCAGGCGATATGAAGGTCGAGAAATACCAGTTCAAGCTTCTCGCAATGCTGTTCTCGTCATTCGAAGAAATCCTCTTCTTAGACGCCGATGCGTTCCCGATTCACCCACCGGAAATGCTATTCGTCAATGGCCCCTTTCCCTCGAAGAACATGGTCACTTGGCCCGATTTCTGGGCATCCACCGTCTCGTCCTACTACTATGAAATTGCCTCTCAGCCGTACCCCGAGAACTCAGTCCGACAGTCCAGCGAATCCGGAGAGGTCCTCATCTCGAAGAAGACGCACATGAAGACCCTTCTTCTCAGCACCTACTATAACATGTGGGGTCCCGATTTCTATTACCCACTGCTTTCGCAAGGCGCCGCCGGAGAAGGCGATAAAGAAACCTTCGTCGCAGCCGCCATGACCCTCCAGGAACCATACTACCAGGTCTCGGAGCCAATTTGCGCCATCGGCCACGGCACACAGGGCGGTTTGGCCGGCTCCGCGATGGTGCAGTTCGACCCCATTGAAGACTACGCTCTGACGCAGAAGGGCGAGTGGCGAGTCCATGGCTCGAAGGCGCCTGCCCCCCGAGCATTCTTCATCCACGCCAACTTCCCCAAGTTCAACCCGGCCACTGTGTTCGACAAACAGGCCGTGAACCCGGCTTTCGCGGATGACGGGAGCTACACCCGCGCATGGACGATTCCCGACGAGGTGATCAAGGCCTTTGGCACTGATGTCGAGAAGCGCTTCTGGGACGAAATTCTGTGGACGGCATGCGAACTTGAGGATAAGTTCAGTACTTGGAAGGATAAAAAGGGCATCTGCAAGGGGGTGAAGAACTATTGGAATGCTATGTTCGGTATCGGGCATTCTCGTTGAGTTAGGGTCGGTCGATTTCCCGATTTCAGCCTTATTGGTGCTGGTCGCTCCGTGAGATGTGTAGGGAGTATCTATCATCACCTACCGATGTGCACGATCCCCACGAGACGATATCTTCGTGGGTATCGAGTTGGTGTCCGGGTTACTGTCAGAATGGAGCAACGGCACAACGAAGCACGCAGCGACGAAGACGATATTACTTCTATTACAGCTATAGGAGCGACATGTCTACGCCCATGTCTCATCAAGGAGACACGAACCACTGCAAGACACTTTGGACCAGCCTTGGATACCCCTCTATAAATACAACGACTGGCAATCTCAGGATTTCATCCTGGATAACATACACATATTCACAAATACCTCCTCACGCCATGTCATGCCATGCCATCAGCTTTGCTACTTATTTCATGTACCATATACCAATACCCATACACTACTATAAATACAACCCATTGATGTAAATCTCTATACATACAATCTAAGCTAATGATACAATTCCAGAGAAGAGAATAATACACCACCCCCACAACCCTTTAATAATACACTTACTCCCTCTCAATAGTCCCCGCAACCCGCGCCTTCCTAACCGCCTCCCTAAACATCTCCTTACACGGCACTCTAGATCCCAACCTCGCGCACAACAAAAACGCCCCACTCAACTTCCGATGCAAACTATACGTTTCCTCAGGCGGCGGAGTCAACCTCTCCCGAATCATAAGGGGAATCAACCCCCTCACGCGATCCGTAATAGTCTGGTTCCTAAAATCATACACATCGGGCGACGACTCCATGAACGGCTCCGCGATAGTAATAACAGAAGTAACGTGCGCATCGACCATCTCTTGACTCTCATGGCCCGTGAGATACCCTAATTCGCGGGACAAGTCCGCGCAGCGCTGACGATCGTTCTTCGCTGCCGCGATCAGCGTATGCACATACTTCGTGATGAATTCGTCGGGGTATTCGCGGGAGGCGCCGAAATCGAGTAATTCGAGCTTGTTCGTCTGGGCGTTGTAAAGGAAGTTCGTCCAGTTGGGGTCCGTCTGCATGTACTTGAATTCGGTGATTTCGCGAAGACAGAGACGGAGGATTTGGGTGCCGATCCAGTCGCGTTGGGATTGGGTGAAATTTTGGATTTTGGTGACGGCGATGCCGTTGAGGCGTTCCATTGTGAGGACTTGTTTGCCTGAGGCTTCGGGGATGATGGCGGGGATGTGGAAGACGGGGTCGTCGGCCAGGAGGGAACGGAAGTGCTCGCCGCAGGTGGCTTCGCGGTGGTAGTCGCATTCCCAGGCGAGTTCGGTGCGGGCGTTGGCGATGGTTTTGTCGAGGTAGAGGCCGCGTGGGAGGAGGCGGGAGGCGGTTAGGAGGATGGAGAGGTTGTTGAGGTCGGAGTCGATGGAGTCGGCGACGCCTGGGTATTGGATTTTGACGGCGACGGGTTGGCCCGTGGAGACGAGGACGGCGCCGTGCACTTGGCCGATGGAGGCGGCTGCCATGGGGATTTCGTCAAAGGAGGAGAAGAGGTCGCGCCAGTTGGGACCGAGGTTGTCGGTAAGGACTTTGTCGCGTTGCGAGGCGGGCATGTAGTCTGCGCGGTCTTGGACTCGTTGGAGGACCTCGTGGATGGAGTCGGGGAGCATTTTGCTGTCTGGGGTGATGTTAGAGGGGGAATTAAGTGATGGGGTAGATGGTGTGTACCTTGGATGCTCAGCATCTGCCCCAGCTTGAGGGCCGCTCCGCGCATCTTGGAGAGTTTGGCGACAAGACGTTCCATGTTTCCGGCGCTGAACATGAGGGATCCAGTGCTTTCGGACTGGCTTCCAGTGGCGCGTCGCAGGCTTTCACTGACGGCGCCAAATGCCATGGATGTGGCTAGGCCACCGTATTGCCATAGCCTGCCTAGTCGAGATGCTGGAACGCGAGACTCGATCATCTGGTACGTTGTCTGCTGCTTCATGGCTGCGGCAGTCTCAGGTTCCACCTGCGGGCACTTTATTAGATATAAACGTCCAATTGGCTGCGACTGCTTGCACTCACTGTTGTTGTTGACACAATGTCTTCCACGGCCTGGGCCTCTTCTTTCGACAGGGCCTCCTTCGCGATGGGTTTGGCGTCAGATGGAGGCACCGGGGTCTTTCCTTTGTATCTTAGATCCGCAGCAGCTTGACGAGACAGCATCCTAGCGACCTTGGGGCTGTGGAATATCTCCTTCATCATATCCTCCGAAATCTCCTCCTGTTGTTCCGTAGGCTGGATTGACGACGCCGGTTTCTCGGCACTGACGGGAGAGTGGAATACGTCCGCATTGATTTCAGTGTTGATGCCGGTTTGCGTGTCGCTGGAGGTCTTGGGTAGCTTAACCCTAGGAAGTCCAGACGAGCCGGGGGTCGTCTGTTTGGAGGGTTCATAGAAGACATCTTGCTGCTGGCTGACATCCAATTGACTGGCTCCGTAACCGGTATGTTCCGCCGTCGTTGAAGGTATCTGCGATTCTGCCTGTCGTTGTGCTTTCCTGGCCTCATCCGGCGAGAGATTCGTGTGCGTGGGGGACGAGCTCGGGGCACGGGGTGACGGTGCGGGTGCTGGTTGGGAGGGAGAAGGATCATCATTGAATCTCTTTGCTAAGGCTGCCGCAGCTTGTGCGGTCATACAGAGGCCATCCACCTGGCTCTTGATGCCCTTGGTGAGGGATGAAGTCCTGGTAAATAGGTCTAACTGGCGCTGCCGCACCTCGAGGTGCTTCACGGCCACGGACCTGGCGACATTGCAAAGTTGGATCGCGTCCAACAGACGCTTGCCCGACATAATTGATAAAGTAGCAGAGAAACCCGGGCTGGTCTCCAAACTACCGTCTTCGCATAATGATGGAAACTGAAGCAATTGGGGGAGCGTGAGAGCAAACCGGATAGCATCTCGAGCCTCGAAAAGCCGCGGTGGTTTTCTGCCGGGCGGTACCGCGCCCCGGAGAGGTCCGGAGGCAACTGATAAGGAAGACAGCCGACCGGATAAAACTAAGAATAGTATTTAAAGGCGAATGTTCCTCCCGCGGATCTCCCTTTCTTCATCACCGCCATGTACCGGCCGCCTTAACTTGTTTGGTGAGGGCAAATGACAGTGAAGACCAACGTGCAGGATATCGAGCAAGAGATCGTGGATCTCGAGGACCGTCTGCGCAATGCACGTGCTCGTCTAGCGTCGGCCTCTGCGTCGCACAAGGGCGGGGGTTCATATCTACCGGTACCGGAGGGTGTGTTTGCCCCCGCGGATGTCTTCCCCGTACACTTCTTCTCTTGCAACTGCAACTTCCACCACCTATCTACAAGATACTAACCGTCTATTCCTACGCTCTAGATGCTACGGGAATAGTGCCCAGCCATGCACTGCTTCTCCTCTCGGATTCAGCCCTTCCGTTGGGCTCGTTCGCCTACTCCAGCGGTCTCGAGTCCTATCTGGCGCACAACAAGCCCCTTCCTCGCTCGGTGACCCCAATTGCATCCTTCCAACGCTTCCTGAAGCTCTCGATCGCTTCTATGGCAAGTACTTCACTTCCATACGTTCTGGCAGGATACAGACGCCCAGAAGACTTGGAGACCCTGGACAATGACCTTGATGCGTCTACCCCCTGCATAGTTGCCCAGCGGGCGAGTCTCGCCCAAGGGCGGGCATTGCTCGGGGTCTGGGAACGCGCTTTCCGGAAAACGTATGCGTTCAACCCATTCCACGCTAACCCCAACGCTGCTGAGGCAGTAAAGGTGGTAGAGGAATTCTCCGACATACTGAAGACCTCGCTGGGTACTGACGAACTAGGCCCCAAAGGTCACTTTGCGCCTTTGTGGGGGGTGGTATGTCTGGCCATGGGCATGGACGCCCACCAGACTGCTTATGTCTTCATGTTGAACCATGCCAAGGCAGTCCTTAGCGCTGCTGTCCGTGCGTCCGTCATGGGCCCTTATCAGGCCCAGAACATCCTGGCCAGCAAAGGCTTGCAAAGCATGATCACTCAACGTATAGAGCGGGAGTGGGATACTCCCGTCGAAGATGCAGGACAAATCGTCCCACCTCTTGATCTCTGGGTGGGACGACATGAACTTCTATATAGTAGAATCTTCAACTCATAATGCATAGATCACCACGATAGCTCTCTCGATTCCTTTCTTTTGGGTCAAAGGTGACATTCCTGTATGAATATAGCTGCATTCATCATCTTTCTCTCTGCCGTGACTTCCTAGTTAATCCTACAACATGCACCGTATTGTCCCACCCAGGTGCCGCTCGAACACTGACGTGGGTATCCAAAAACAACTCCTCTGGACCGGAGGGTAATGAAAAGAGAAGGGGAAATAAAAGAAAATAAAAGAAAAGGAATAAAAGGCAGCAAAGAGAAACGAAGAGAAAGAGAAAATTAAAAGGAAACAAAAAGAAAAACCGGTAACCCGAAGACCAAACAACCCGGCCACTATGCAAAGAAAATATCCGATCAATAGGAACAGATTTAGATCGAACGCCGGCCCTCTGATATCCTGTCCTGCTAAACCACAGTAAAACACCGCACCATGAGCCTTTTTCCATGATTATGGAGCGCAATGGGTAAAAGAAAAATCAAGCCGTAATAAAGTGACGTAGGTGAGTGAAAGGGGGAAGGCGAGAAAGGCAAGAAGGGAAGGAAGAGACTATGATACACGAAGTTGAGGGTAGGAACCCAGGATGCTGGGTTCTGAGCAAATCACAGTGTGATATGCATGTAATCGTTGTTACCGAAGGACTTGTTGCAGTTGGGACACTTTCGAGACCGAGATGTGAGGCGCTCTTCCACGCATTCTTTACAGAACACGTGACCACAGGTCTTGATGGCCGTGTTCTTGAAGTTGCGGCGACACACAGTGCAGAGTGCCAGAGTCTGTAGGGCACGTTAGCGAGGATGATCCAATATGGCAAAATAAGGGTTAGAGATGGGATATAACTATACCCTCAGCATTTCATATTCGGACGAGGAGTTCCCGAGGCTCTTGTTCTTCCAGTTCTCCAGGCTCTTCTTGGTATCCGCCAGGGTCACCTTCAGACCTTCCACCTCCGTTTCCGCTTGGCGACAAGCACTCGAGGCGCTAGCCAATGTCGAGTCCTTGGAAGCTGACAGCGCCTTGAGTTCGGCTACCTGCCGGTTCAAGCCCTCAATTGTGATGTTTTTCTCTGTGACTTGCTGCTGGGCTGCGTAATTCTTGTTCATCATCGAATTGAGTGCTTCCTTAGTCTCGCTAACTTGCTTTTCCATGTTGGCCAGCAGAGAACGGGTGGCTGCCTCAGATTCCTTCAGCTGCGACACGATGTCCGAAGTTTTCGCATTTTGCATGCGCAGGGTGCGGACCTCCACATCCCTGGCCTCTTTGCTCTTCATTGCAGCGAAATATTTCTGATCGGCCTTGGACTTCTCCGCGATGAGCCGGGCAACCTTCTCCTCCAAGGCACTGAAATCGGTGACTTTCTGTGATGCCAATGACGAGTACTTCTTGCAGGCGACTTGCATCGAGGATAGTTCGGTATTGAGCATCGAAAACTGACGCTCCAGGTTGCTGAACTTAGCACGCAATTCTTCGATCGGGATCTCATCAACGCTTTTTGATGTGCTCTTCTCCTTATCTAATTCCATACGCAACCTTTGTACCTCGGACTCTAGCGCCGTAATCCGAGCCTGTCCAGCATCTGCAAGTTCTTGCACCTTTGTAGCCGCAGTTTTCTCCTGCTCTTGCGCAGCCTTCCGCATTTGCTGGTCCGCCAAAAGTTCGTCGCGCGCATTGCGTATCCGTGCCAGATCTGTTTCTGCCCGCATTAATTGCATCTCCTTCTCAGCGATCGCATTTTGTGCCTCTTCATCAACCTGATTGCGGTAGGCGGTTCGCTCCGATCGAAATTTTGCCGCTTCTTCTCGCAGTTGCACGTTGGTCGCTTCTAAGTGGTTGATCCGAGTAACAACGTCATCGTACTGGGATTTCAATTGCTTGAACAAGTCCGTGTGCGCGTAGTCATCGTCAGTAAGTCGTGAATGCTGCCGTCTCACGTTAGCACTGTTCGAGTCTAGCTGGTCCAACCGGGTGGGCGTACCTTGATGTTGAGATCCGTTATTTGAGTCAGTAATTTGGCATTTTCACTCTCCAGTTTCTGAAGCTGTTCTTTCTGCTTTTCGGACACGGCCACGAGTTTGCTGTGGGCTTCTTCCAGCGCAGGACTCCGCTCGCCGCTAGGGGTCGCGCCGTTGGACGCGGAAGGCTCTTCCTTGGGTGCAGACGCACTATCGCCGCCGGGGCGTTGGGCTCCTAGAATGTACTGCTTCTCTAATTTGGCAACCGTCAAGCTCCTTGCACGATCGAGCTTTTTCTCGGCTACCATGTACCGTAAAGAGGCTTCTTCGAGACTTTCTTCAAGTTGCTGTTTTTCAGATAGAGCTTTCTCTAATTCTGCGATGGTGGCTTTTTCCTCAGCAAGCTTCTTGGCGAGTTGAGTCTGTAACTCTGAAGCCTCGGGTGAGGTCCTGGGAGATTTGGATAGTAAGCTAGAGATGACCTGGCGGATATCCTCCGAACGGGACTTTAAGTGCTTCTCGAATTTGTCGACATCATCGAATAGTAGGCTGCTTTGGAAAGCCGGGCGTTCTGGGATTTTGTTTAGCGTTTCCATGTAAACCAAAAGCCGGCATGAGTGGGACCCACCCTTGGCATCCTCTTCGGCAGCGCCCATGAGCAATTTGACCTCGTCGACCAACTGTCGACTCGTCAGACAATCTGCACCGGATGAGCAAAATACAACGATCTACTCACTTGCTTATACCAGGTATCTATGATACGGAGATGGTCATTGTGGTAGGCGGTGGCTTTGGACATCTCCTTCAGCTTGGCCTCGAGCGACACCTTCTCACGTTTGTACTCCTGCATCTGGCGCCATATTGCGTCTTTTTGGAAACGCTGCGACGAAAAGACGTCAGTATGTCACCTGGAGGGTAGCGGTAGAGTCGACTATGGCGTTCCAATCCTGTCTAGGGGAACCCTTGGGATAAGTTGGCACCCACGTGGGCAGATCGGGGACTTACCTCCAGGTCATCTTTCCAGGGCATATCAGCGTCGGGATGGGGTTTGCTACCACCATTGACCGAAGTCGCTTGCTTTTTCAACGGTGGAGCAGAATCATTATGGTCGTAGGCAGCGGCTCTCTTCCGGTCTTCCATCATGACAAAACCGGAATCGGAAGATGCGACGGGGGATGCTTCGGCGGCCGGCATCAGTGGCTAAAGAGGCATACGTCAGAAGAGGCCGTCACCACTGAGCAGCAACGGGCCGAAAGCAGGGACCGTAACAATCTCCGACCGTGAAAGACGTGACGGTGGGTGGTTGTTGTGGAAGAAAAGGCGGGTGGAAGGGGGGAAGCGAGGAAGAGGTGGAAGAGGGGGATGGAGAGGGAATGAGTTGAGATAAGCAAAGACTCCCAGGCAGAGAGAAGCCAGGAGGATTTTCGGCCTGCCAGTTTAGCGTCCCTTCGCGCCTCCCACGTGACCGCGCCCACTTTCCCCAGGAGTTCAGGTTCAGGTTCAGCTCTTTCCGCCCGCCAATCTAGACTTTTTGCTGGTTTATTACTCTCTCTCTCGGTCCCTTCTTCTACCTACTACCACCACCACCAACTAAACCACCATCACTTCATCATCATTGTTCCCCCGCCCTACTATCTCTCCTTGCTCATTTCATCCCTTCCTTACCTTTCGCTTCAGCGATGACCAGCATGCAGAATGAAGTCCTTTTCCAGTTCGGCCATTAGTACGTTCCTTTGTCCCCTCTTCCCGTGTCCCGTCCCGCCTTCTATACATTCAACTGCTAATCATGCC